AATTTGCAAGTCTCGCTGTGTTTTCTGCCAGCGTGGACGATTTTGCAATTCGGTGAGATATTCGTGATGCCATCTGTGCCAGAAGTGTGCCTTTGTTGCAGAAATTCTTTGCCATCGCTGAAGATTCGAAATATCCTCAACCAACTTCGTAGGTTCTGGAATGCCTTTTATAGAACTTCCAATTAAAAAATGCCCCGGTGTTAGGGCCTCCAAGTCGTTGGGATTTGATGACAGTGCACCAAGTGGTCGAGAATTCATAACCGCTTCGATTTCAGCCAGTGAAGTGCTCAACTCCTCGAACGTTAACCGTGCAGTCGTCAGAGTTCGATACATATGCGCCTTTGCCGACTTAACGGCAGCCTCCCAGAGTCCTCCGAAATGTGGTGCTCTGGGGGGAATAAATGAAAAATCAATAAAATTAGACGAGCAAAAATCAGTAATTTTCTTAACATTGGTGGAGCTCTGAAAAGCTTTAGCAAACTCCTTTAGCTTGGCATCGGCGCCAACAAAATTTGTTGCATTGTCACTATAAATCTTTGACGGCAAGCCTCGTCGACTCACGAAACGTTTGAGTGCAGCGATGAATGCGTCACTAGTGAGATCAGTCACCGCTTCAAGGTGGACCGCTTTGGTGGAAAAGCACACAAATACGGCGATATAGGACTTAAATGGCGTTCTCCCTCTTAGTTTGAGGTAAGTAAGAATCGGGCCTGCAAAGTCCACGCCTGTTATCGTAAACGGTCGAGTACTTGTCACCCTGTGTTTTGGTAAATCACCCATAACTTGAGTGAGGAGCTTAGGTTTATAGCGTGTGCAGTGAATGCAGTTGTGTACCACCATACGTACTAGTGCGCGACAGTTCACTATCCAAAATTTTTGCTGAATTATTGCTACCAGTGCTCGTGCTCCTGCATGATAGTTAACGCGATGAAAATATGTTATCATGCATTTTACAAATAAATCATTTTTCGGTAACAGTATTGGCCACTTAGCCGAGTCCGGAATGTCTGCATGTCTCAACCGACCACCAACTCGCATTAGTTGGAAATCGCCCTCATCTTGCAAAAAAGGGTTTAGTGAGGCGAACACCCCCTTAACTTCATTCTGTTTCCTCAAGGTGGCGATTTCGTTTGCAAAGTAATGCTGTTGAATAATCCAAGCAACTCGTTTAAGAGCTTCTTCTAGTCGCTGTGTAAGGCATTCGTCGTAGATGGCGATTCATTGTCCTAAAGCGCAGCATAATTGCAACGACACGAAGACCCTTTATGTAACTGCTTATTTGATGAAGTCTTTGAAGCAGATATGGTATTTCGGTAACCTCACAGGTACATGCAAGCTTGCGTTTTTCCAAGTCATGATCTTTGTCGGATAAGTAGCCACTAAATGTTGATGGCCACGTTGATGAATAATGGAGAAGAAATGGAGGTCCGTGAAGCCAATTTGATTCCACAAGTTCGTTGACCGAAAATCCGCGTGAAATGTGATCTGAAGGATTTTCCTCTGTAGGGATATGTCTCCAAATTACGTCCTTTGTTAATTGTTGAACATCAGATACTCGATTACCAACAAACGTTGACAGTGTTGATGATTGCGATTGTATCCAGTGCAATGTTATTTGCGAATCGGACCAAAAATACCTTTGGGAAATTTGCCAGTTAAGATGCTCTTCGATTTTGTTCCAGAACTTAACGAGTAAATGTGCGGCGCATAACTCCAAACGAGGAAGTGTGCGAACCTTTAATGGAGCAACGCGTGATTTGGACGCTAACAGGTTTACTGTGACATTGCCTACTTCATCCTTGCAGCGAACATACAAACAGCATCCATACGCCTTTGTCGAGGCATCTCCAAAGCCATGAACTTGTATGTCGACAGCATTTCCAAGGCCAACATATCTCGGAATACGTATGAGGTGCAACTGCTGTAAATCTTGGCGAATAGCTTCCCAAGCACTTGCAATTGTTTGTGGCACAGATTCGTCCCAGTCACATTGAAGAACCCATAACCTTTGCAGCAAGATTTTCGCCTTAATGATAACAGGACTTATAAGTCCCAGTGGGTCAAAGAGTGACGATGTTGTTGACAAGATTGATCGCTTCGTGATGCTAGTTGTCTGATTTTTTGGATGATACGCGAATCCGAAAACGTCGTCACTGGTATACCAAGATATTCCAAGTGCACTTGTTGTGGTATTGTCGTCCAAACAGACGTTCTTGATATCCGTCGCTGATTCCATTAGCGATGGGTGATTACAGAACCATTTAGTGAGTGAAAGCTGAGCAGAATTCAAAACTTCGCAGACTTCCCTCTTAATCATTAGCAGGGATTGCAGATCATCTGCTCCTGTTAACATATCGTCAAAGTAGAAGTCAGTTTTGATGATTTTCTTTCCGAGATCATTCCCATATGGACAGGTCCCTGCTGCGAATTGTAAACTACGAATTGCAAGATAAGGCGCCGCTGCAGTACCATATGTAACGGTGTTGAGGCTATATGTAGAAATTGGTTGCGTTTTGTCATAACGCCAGAGAATCAAGTGGTACTTACGATCATCGGGATGTAGTAAAAATTGCCGATACATTTTTGTAATATCAGCTGTAAGACCATATTTGTGGCACCGGAATCGTAAAAGAGTAATTAACAATTCATTTTGAAGTTGCGGGCCCACCATGAGTAGTTCATTGAGTGAGACCTGGGAAGCCGTACGACACGATGCGTCGAAGACAACTCTCAGTTTAGTTGTCGTACTTCCCGGCTTTACCACGCAGTGGTGGAGTACAAAATAGTGTGGTGAATCTAGTTCCACATTTTTGATTAACGACATATGGCCCAGTTCTTCGTACTCCTTCAAAAATTTTGTATATTCGCTCTTTAATGTTGGATTTTTCTCGAGTTTATTTTCCATTACTAAAAAGCGTCGCATAGCTATATCTCGCGAATTACCAAGACTGCGGACATCACCCTTGAACGGCAGTTTTACCATGAGTCGACCATTGGATTTGGTTACCGTTTTCAAAAAATGAGTCTCGCACTGGTATTCTTCTGATGTCAAATGTTGCCTCTTTGAATTGACTTCTTCAAGCTGCCATAATTTTTCAACGTTACGGTTTATATTATCTATTGTAGAAATAGCTGCACAATGGGATGGATTGTTAATTGGTTGTCGTGGAGCAGAGCATTTTCCGGATAAGATCCAGCCAAATAAAGTTTTTTGCAGAGTAGGCAAGTTATCGCCAAGACGGATTTGCCCAACGGATAAAAGTGAAAAAAAGGCTTCTGCTCCAAGCAACATATCGACTCCACATGCGCGGTGAAATTCAGGGTCCGCGAGATTAATATTTCTAGGAATCATTAGATCTGCTGATGCTACAGTTTCACTAGGATGATAGCCAGAGATTTGTGGGGATATTAGGAATTCTAGCGACGTTTCAAAATTATTAATGCGAGAGCGAATGGTAGTTTGCGTTTTAAATGCTATTTTTAGTGGGGATGAGCCAATCCCGCAGACGTCGATATAATTACGAGACTTACGAAGGTTTAAACCTGAACAAAGCGCCTGCGTCATAAAGTTCACCTGCGAACACGAGTCCAAGAGAACTCTACAAATCTTGAACTCTCCACAAGCGTCTCTAGCTAAAATCAAGGCGGTAGCAAGTATAACTTGCCCTCCTTGCGCTGAGGCTCCAAGTTGGGTTTCGACACTGGTTGTATGAACTGATGCTGACTCATTTGTCGTAAAGCTGTTGTTTGGCGGAGTAGAGGGTGAGGAAATAGTTTCGGAGGTATTGTGTAGCAACGAATGATGCCTTTTTTTACAAAATCGACATGAATATTTTGATGGGCATTGCGAACATCCATGACCTTTAGCTAAACAATTAAGGCAAAGATTTAAGTTTTTCACTTGTTATGAACGCTGAGTCACCGGAAGAACTACGAAGGCTTGACACGTTGATATATTGTGACCTGATTTAGAGCAAAATGCGCACAACATATCCCTTTGAGAACTGCGTTTCGCTAGCAACGTATGATTGATTTTCGCGTTGTTAGTATAGGTCCTTTGATGTGATGACTGAGCTGCAGCTGGCCCTGACCCGCCTTTCAAGTTCGCATTTGTTTGTTGACAACGTTTGTCCAGCATTGCGCAGCAGTCAACCCATTTTGGTAATGATACGTAGTCGATGTGTTCATCCCATTTTCTTCTTGTATCCGAGTCAACTTTATTCAACGCAACATGTATAATGAACGCATCACAAATTTGTTCATAAGAACCTAGAGACTGTAAGGAGCTGTAAAGAGCAGAGACGGTGTCGACTATGTGTCGCAACTGCCCCGGTACATTCTTAGTTGTCTTGGGAATATCAAAAAGTGCTGATATATTATCTAAAAAAATTAAAGTGTTGTTATCGTACCGGTCTTTGAGACGTTGAAGAGCCTTGGCGTAATTTTCATTTGTGACTTGGAAAGCCTTTACCGTGGATAACGCTTCTCCACTTAAACAAGTCAGCAAGTGGTTGAACTTCTCAATGGCTGGTATATTAGGATCATTATCCACGAGACTATTAAAACAATTTATAAAGTTTTTATACTCAATGTATTTGCCATCAAACTTTGGTAAACGCAAGTTTGGTAACCGATTTGTTGTTGTTTGTGGAAAACATAGAGTTTGTTCATGAAAACTTTGTCTTCTACGCCCGTCCATTGCAGCTGATTTTTTGCATTTTGCATTTACATAAAGCTCATCAATATCTGACCGACCATTATCAGCTGGGGACAGTCTCTCAATTTGAGTTTGGTAGTACGAGGCTTGTTTGTAATACGAATCAATTATACCAAGGCGACACTCAAGCTCTGTTACGGAAAGATTATTGTTTCCTTCAATTAAGTTTCTAATGCGGGTAATACTACCCTTGGTAGACGCTCGAAGTTGTTTTAACTCTTCAAGTGACGGTTGATTTTCTGTCATTTTTGCGAAGCGAAAATGGTCTGTATACGGTATGAAGATGGCAGCAGCGACGTACGAATGTAAATTTGAGACAAACTGAGCTAGCACAACAATGACCGTTTTCGAAGCTAAAATACTTTCTCTTAAGTACTATGAAGTCTACGGCGATGCGAAGAGACTCAAGCAGAAAAAATTACCGCAACAATGATGTCACAACGATAGGACAATAACAGGTGATAGCGTTGCCTAGCGTGTATGAAACAATTTCTCTCTTTGTGTAACGAAATTGTAGAGCATTGGATTATGAACAGTTATAATACTTATGCTAAGAGCGCCAATGTTCGGTATGCGTTGGCGTAGCTTAAAGGGAATATATGTACATATACGTACAATGCGCACACCTCATATAGATATATAGCAGCGGTTGTAGCGGATTTTTAGCTATACATATATAAATGCAACGATAACGGATCCTTATATATGCAATTTACCTTGGCACACTTTCTGTCAATTATAGATCTTTATAACTGGAATATGTCTGTAAATTGACCCAAAACTTCTTGGCTGATGATTGAGGAAGATAAACGTTACAACCTTTGCACCCCTACTACCCATGCGAGGTATGAACTCCTTGGATGATGACGTGAAACCGTAGTTAGGCACACATAGGACAACTTATGCGAAGTGTCAAAATCCTTGCAAGCTGATCCACCTAGATGAACTTATGACGATGCGAAAACGTGGTTAGGCACACATGGGACAACTTATGCGAAGTTTCAAATCCTTGCGAGCTGATCCACCTAGATGAACGTATGATGATGTGACAATGAAGTTTTGCGCAGGACAACTTATGCGAAGTCTCCTGGCAGGATCGCCAATGAAAAAGATGCCTAATTTGACACCTTGGAACTCGTTAAAAAATGGATTTTTTGCGAATTCCGACCCTTCGGTTCGGCTTGGGTTTGTACAGAAATAATTATTTACTTCGATGCCGAAAACTCTACAAGTTGCAGTACGAATCCGGATGAACGTAGAAGTAAAAAACCGCGAGCTTACGCTTTACAAGAAGAAGTGAAGTCAACAATTTATTTGAAGTATCGTTTTCTCAAAGCTATTGACAATTTAAGAATAGAAGGAATTGGAAAATGAGTGAAAATGAGAGTATGAGAGAATCTCATTATTGAGTACTTATACTAATATGACAGTTCTTAACTTATACTACAGTGTGTTACAAAATTATTTTGTAAGAAATAAAAGTGAATGTGTGTTCTAGACCAAACAAATATTATAGCTATTTTGACATCGGGGGACAAAACTCCATCAAGTGCCATTAAAATATATTAAATTTCGCACTGACTTATAGGCAAAATATTGATCGCTTTGTGAAAAACTCCATGAATTTGTTGAACTTTAGATACTTTGAGGCACGTCTTTCCGTTATCTGATTTTAAAAAATTTTCGCAGATCACGTTTTTATGACCTAATGAACCTTTCTGCGGGGAGTCTTGCATTGTAGGACAAAGTTGCAATATAATGCGCAGTCTACTGTGCATGCATGATGTTATTCATTGAATTATTTTGCAAACTTATAACTAATAGGAAAAAAACAGAAATCTGAATTTTTGTTAATTTTTTTAGTGTTTAACATAGCCCAACAAAAATATAAAAAAATTTTGATATGGCAAATGTTAAAGCTGTTTTTGATAGATTTTTTTTGTGCTCAATACGAATCCGTAAGCATAAAGTTTCCATCAGCTGCAGATTTAAAAAAACGAGGTCAAAGGGTCAAAAAGTCGCGGTTTTACCAATATTTTAGAAGCTGTAGCAAAGAAACAAAAGGTGATAAAACCTTCCTGGCTTAAATTAAAGCTAGATCTCTCGACTTCTATCTCTGAAAAGAGATCTTAAAAATTTTAGATTTTAAAATATTTTTTACCATTATTATCTTAAACTAAATGATGGGAAATTTATATGCATATTTCCCTCCACAAGGGTGGTTTAAACACCCAAACCTAACCATAACCGCAAAAGATATGTACGCGCCAAATATTTCCATCTTGTATTTTTGGTCAAAATTCCATCATATATTTTTCTAATCCGGTAACTGTGAATGGAACTGCTATGAATTTGCCACTGCCTCTAACCTAGAGATGGTCACGGGAGTGATTTTTTTTTTACAAATCTCCGATATACGTATATATGTATGTGTTACGAGTATAAAAAAGAATTCAATATTCATTCAATGTGATTATAAAATATTTTTGTTTAAAAATAATATTTTGTCGAAGTTTTCAACAAGCAGTCGTGTAATAGGCGGCATACACGGTGCGTCTGATTCGCGAGTCGGTTTGGATGTGTTTGTGAAAATAAATATGTGTTAGTTACACCGACATGACTCTGAAGCGAATCAACACGTACACAAATGACTCGCGAGTCAGACGCACCGTGTATGCCACCTATAAGTCTTTTTTCTAGAATTCTGCCTGACACAGAAAAAATCGTTCACTAAGAAGTTGCTGAGCTAGCTGGTATGTGTAAAACGTGCCTTGAAAAGCTTCTAAGAAGTGGAAAATCTTTAGCTTTCACCCAAAATTTTAAAATATAGTCACAACTTTTGTTTTCTAATTTTTTCAAATAACTATATTTCCGCATTAATGTCTTCAAAACGTGTAAGATAGTCCGAAAATTTCACAGAAGTCCGAAGAAACTTATTTCTTTCAAAACGTTTGAATGGTCTCCTAACTAAACTTATCAAATATGAGCTTCTACTACAATTACGCACTATTAAATTTAGGAAGTAGGGAAGCTTTGAGACAGGGTAACCAAAATAAATTTATTTCTATGCCACCTCATATGTTGTATTACATTTGGAGGATGCGAGGTATTGCGCGCCACGCGAAGCCATATGTACATCATACGACCCCCTTACCGCCAAAAAGATGTAAGCGACATTTTTGTTTTTATTTTTAATTTTGATGCAAAAACGCAGCTAGATGCTCTAGGAACATTTCTGCTTCAAAAAGAAAGTTTTGAAAAATGTGTCGCTTAAATCTTTTTCGCGGTTAGGCCTCGATATGTGAAAATTACGTGATTGATGGAGAATTTAACTCACGCACGCTCACGCCATCGAAAGATTCAGTCACGAACGATTACGGAATTTACCTGATTTTTCTCCCAAACCACTCACGCTCACGCGTGAGAAAGCGTCACATGACGTATAACGTAGAAAATCACGTGTTTTGCCCACCTCTACTCTAACCTAACCTAAGTAATTGTTTAGCAATGAACAAATTTTGAACCTGGGCAACCATTTCAATTGCAATAAATACAACGATAAAAATTAAAGGAATGCAAAATTTCGTAAACAAAATCTATAGAAAATCAATTCTTCCGAAACTTTCTATTTGGAAAATGTTTTACATTTTCCTTGGGTAGAGACAAACTCAACAAAAGATAGCTCACATAGTGTTTAGGCGCGATTACTAAATACTACTACTACTAATTGGACACAAAGGTTTACTTACTCATGGAATACCCCTTATATTCATGTATTCATTCAATTCAAGGAGTTCTTCTAGCGCAGTGGATTGTTCGCCTATTATATGGTTGCCAGATTTTTTTAAGCGCGAAATCAGTACGTTAGACTTTTTCATGCTAAAAAAATCAGAACTTTTTAGTTCATTTTTATTCAAAGCAAAATTATGAATGTAACAGCCGGTTTCACCAACAATTTAAATGGAAAATGATTTTTTATTTGCTGTCAATTTCCATATAAAAATAAAAAAACTAAAATCATTTTTCGCTTGAATTGCTGTCGTGAAATTTACATTTTTGAATAGCAATAATGAGACCATTTCCATCTTCAGTGTTTAAATAGTCAAAGAATTCTATACATTTCATTTAAAAAGTACTTTTAGGTTTCTCTCTGCGCCAGGAAGCAAACTTAATACTCTCAGTTGCTTCGTTTAAGTTTGTCATCCGCACGGATATAGTCCGATTCGCACTGTCATAACAAGCGAGTTTGAAGGATTAGATTCAGGCGAATGACATCCTACGGACCGTACCATGGATGTCATTCGCAAGAATCTAACCCTTCACACTCTTGTACGCAAAACTCTTTTACAATATCAGTAAATTGTGAAAAAAGAATTGTAAGTTATAAGCAAAAGCCATTCGAATATTCATATTTATTGTTATTAAACTGAAAGTTATTTTCGAGATAGGTAACACTGGACAAAAAAATCAGTCTTCTTTTTAAGTAATTTAAGCTTCATTATATTATCGCAACTGGGATGTAACGACTCGGTGATATGCCCATAATACGGTTGATCTTTTCGTTGTATTAATTTCTTGGGCATATCAAACATTATCTGAAACATGCCCACTATAATTAAATTATTTTCTTCTTACTTTCTACAGTAGAGTTTAAGGAAGATCCAACGTTATGTAAAAACATTAATAAAATTCTAAAGTATTTTGCTTGAATTGGAAATTCAGTACAAATCAGTACAAATTTTGAAAAATCAGGACATTAGCGTACTGATTGAAGAAAATTATAAAATCAGTACAAGAGTTGAAAAATCAGTACTGTACTGATAAAATCGGTACGTCTGGCAACCGTACGCCTATACGACGCCATTTCCAGGTTCTTTCCCTAACAATCCGGACCGGATCCGGTAATTAGAGAATAAAAGAAAAGTTTGCTCCTTAACATGGAGCAAAGTCCAGAAGTACGGGAACGCAAAAAACCATATTTCGTGCCCAGAATTTGAGAACAGCTTATTCATGTTGTTTTTGTTTTTGTCACTTAAAAGCAAACGCTTGGAAATTGAATTTTGGTTTCACAAATTTAATTCTAAGTATATGAAGATTAGAAATACATCAACAGGCAGTTCTGTATTCCTTAAATGCTCCAAGCAAATGCAGGCCACATGTAAACATAAAACAGCTGATATGCACTTTGACACGTTATCCATTTTTAACCGGAGAAAAAGTCCAGGCTGTTTCGGGCAGGAAGAAGAAGACACTTACGATCCAATACGTTCCAATTTTCGCTCTCTATTACCCATTTTGTTGAGGACGGGAATGATCATGCGTTGCGTACGGGAAAAAACCTAATATTGGCATCGGAACGCCGGCGTGAAAAGTATGCATTTTTTACTGGAATCAGTTCATGTAAGTACCTGCTTACATTCACTGAGAGAAAAATCAACCAAAAATTGGTTAATATATCCAAATTCAAACTTGAAAAGGAATTAACGTGATTTTTGGTTAATATTGACAATGTCTTGGTTGATATTTTCAACAATGATTTGGTAATATTAACCACAATCTTCTTTACAATATCCAAACTTTTGGTTGGCGATTTTTCGTTTGAATAAGTTTGTGTTCTGCACTTCACAGATGCTTTTTCGTAATTCGGAGATACAAATCAAAAATTTTTATTATCATTTAACATGTTTCCTCTGACTGGATTAGCAAACAGCAAGCTGTGTCTTCAAATGTAATTAAGAAAAAAAAATAAAATTAAATTAAAATTACGTACTGCTGGAAGCCAACAAATAACAGCAAGCACCTCTGCACGTTCAGCAACTGCCATATATACAAATTTGTTCTCAAATGTTCAACTTGAATCACATTTCTTACAATCGGCTTATTGACCATGAAAAATTCAAACCATAACTTGGTTGAAAAAACCATTGTGCTTTTGGCTCAGTGTTATGTTCGTAACAGTCCAGCGCTGGACTATCTCGCTGGGATAGTGTAAAAATATATTCTGTAGAAAAATTCAAACATGTTTCAATTTCTTTTATATTTAAACTTTCAAGAGTATTTATTAAGGGTTGTCGTAAACGATAAGAATAATTTTCATGAGAATAGCATTTCAGTCTCATCGTTGAGTAAATACACTTACTCATTACCAGAGAACGGATTTTATGGAAATTGCCTCTCTTTCTGCTAAAGAGAAAGAGTATATTCGATTAAGAATGTCTACGAGTTAGCTTTCCTTGATTCCATATATATTTATTTGACGTTGCCTTTTTTAAGATATTTGCCATTTCTGCCATTAATTGTAAAAGGCAAAGAAAAAGGCCTTCTTAAACGTTCACGTCGAGCGCACGTTTAGTATAATAAGGCTTTTTTTTCGCAAAAATCTAATGAAAATGCTGCTAGGAAATTTCAAAATGCATCTTGTGGTTCAATGTTACTACAACTATACAGTTTAAAGTTTTGTGAGTTAAAAACTCGGAAAGAGAAAATAGTCAAAAGTTCAAAGTACAAGTTTTTCACATAATGAAACTAGTTTATAGTTTTTCTCGTTTTACTTGTAAAATAAACATTTCTAAAATAAAAGCATTTTTGATTATTTTGCGGTTTTGACTTTTTTTGGTGCTTTCTTTTGCATTTTTGCATATTCTAGTGCTATTTCCTGCCTATTTTGCTATTATTTTTGTATTTCCTAGCCTATTTCGTTATATTATTTTGCCCTTTTTATAGGTTTTTAGGTCCTAAAAATCCGTTCCCTGCTCATTACTAATTAGAGGCTGAGGATGAGAGTGTATTCCTATTCTCATAAAAATTCTTCTATTCATTCACGAGAACCTTACATAAGAAAATTGTGGATTAACAAAAAATAAATTATAAAAATATTTATATTAAATATATTTATAGCTTATTATATTAACTTATGAATTTATACTAATTCGTTCGTAAGTGTATGTAACTTAAAGGCAGTAATACATTTAATCACTTTGAATTCTGCCACCCATATTCGCAGACACCACGTTTAGATTTGTGTACTGAAAGGCCAGGTACCCACCGCCAGAGGGGTTCTAGTGACTATTCATATGCTTACAAGTCTAATGTCGAAAAGAGCTCCTACGATTCTAGCAATTCTTATGCTAGGCCTGAGCGCTCCTCGTACTCTACGAGTGTTGAGTCATCATCTCGTTCTGGTCCGGGAGGATCTTACAATTACAGCACCGAGAGGACTAGTACCACCGGCGCTGGACCCGGTGGTTACAGCTATTCATCAACAACTTCCGGCACTTTACCTGGTGGCGCTAGATATAGGCATTTTTCCTACCATGTTTAAATAAAACTACATACATACATACATATGTATATTAAAAAAAAAGTATGAAAACTAAATCGTTATTTGCAATCTTTTTTAACTAATAATAATAATAAACTTAAATTTATTAAACCAAATACAACTACATATTTTCAAGATTCGCAAGATCTGATCACAAAACACATAACTGTTTCCTTAACAACTAATATACGTATGTACATATGTACATTCATGTTTACACATAAAAAGATATAAATGTAAAACAATTGTTAAGTAATAAAATGGTCTAGTCACCTAAAATCCTACATGATTTGTTAGTATGTATTTGTGATATATACATAACTCTAACCAGCAATAAACAATAAAATGTTTTACCAATCGAAAATAACTAATTATCTTTATTTCAAACCTTAAGTATGTACGCATTAGTTAAAAAGCAATGCGATGTCATATTCTTGAATCACTGCATAGAATTCAGAGTTGTTTGTAGGGTTGCCAGATTCAGGAACGGTACTAGAATTATATCTCAGTTTTCCATGAAAAAAATTAGTACATTGCTAAAAAAGAAGTAACTTTTCGTGCGTTTTATGCATTTGATGCATTTTAATTTACGAAAAATTAAAATTGTAAGCTAACATAACATGTCGTTGTTTACGATGTTTTGATCATAAAAAAATACATACAGTAAAACTAAAAAATTTACAAAATGTTTACTTTATTGCTAGAGAGATGCAACAATTACAAGGTAATGTATTTGTTATGGGACAATAAGGTATAACTATATTTTGTTTTAGGGAGCATCCGCGGCAGTGTTGTCTTTTCCTACCAAAACTGGTAGGTTTTATTCCATTTGGTAAGTTGGTAGGCTTAATAGGATTTTGGTAGGTTCCGTGAAAATGAGTTATATCTTCTCCAAACATTTTAGCAACCTTTTTTACACGAATATTTCACCGGTGCGTTCAATGGGCTCGTACCCAACCATATTCCAGGCGGAGCTCTTCGCAATCTAGAAAGCATATTGTAGAAAGCAAATGAGGCCAGAACAAATATTATGTCGGGTATGCAGGCTGCGTTAAAAACCTTAGACTCTTTCAAAATCCCATCAAGGCTTGTGAACTCTTGAACCACCTGGGAGCCGACAATAGTGTAACGCAGTGGTGGGTTCCGGGACATTAAGGGTTTCAAGGCAACGAAAAGGCTGACTGTCTCGCAAGGGTACAGACCATATTGCATATTCCCGAGCTACTCTTTGGTACCTCTAAAGGATACGCTGCAAAACTAGTTAGAAGCTAGCTGGGAATAATCTAGATTGCTTCTCACTCTATAAAATAAAACACCTCTGTGAGGTAAAATTTTCGAGTGACGGAAGCTGAACTAGAAACACAAAATTTAGATATCAATTTCGTGACGAAAATTATACGAATTTTTTAACTGCCCTTGAAACATAGGGAACATCTTTTTTATTCATACGAATCGTTGCAAAATTTCTGTTTTTTATTTTGTGTTTCTAGCAGTATACGGAATTTCGCAACGTTCCGAATAAATAAAAAAAGATTTTCCGTACGTTTCAAAGGCAGTTAAAAAATGCGTATAATTTGCGTCACGAAATTATATCATAAATTTTGTGTTTCTAGTTCAGCTTCCGTCACTAGAAAATTTTACCTCAAAGAGGTGTTTGAGGTAGCAAATTTAAAATCGACGAAAATGCAAACAATAATCTAAACGTTTTATTTTTCTCAAATAAATTGATAAAAATATTATCTTAATCTAAATTATTAATTTTTCGATTACGGAATAAAGCGAAAAAGAATGATCATATCTAGTGTGACCAACTGTACGTAAAAATTTTGTATTTCTTCTTGCTGAGTTTGTGGTAGTCTGTAGTTCTTTATGTATACCGGTGCGTTGTCTGTTAAGTTAAGTTTTTGGTTGTGAAAGTTATTTATTGAAAGTTTTTCTCCTTCTCTACAGTTTCGTTCGTTGGTATTTTTGTGTTAATTGGTAAAATATACTCTTTGTCTTTTAGATTTATAGTTACTAGTATCACCCAGTTGTCGAAATTCGACATCTTTTTTCATACACTTTTGAATTTTACCTGTCACCAATACTAACTCCTTTATGAGAATTACTATTACAACGCTTGTATGAACTTGCAATGTTGTGGCTCCAGAAACTTTTAATGTTGTGGATCCAGAAACTTTTAATGTTGTGGATCCAGAAACTTTCAATGTTGTGGACTTAGAAACTTAGAATGTTGTGTGTCCGACACCATAAAACCTTTGCTTTGCAAAGTTCCTATAAAAAAGTCAAGTGCATAGGCGACATCTGTAGAGCATAGGGCGAGGTAGATGACATCTAGCTGTCGCCCTACGTACGCTACAGTGGAAATAAACGACACGCCATTTCTTTAAAAGTTCCTATAAAAAGTCCAGTGCATAGGGCGACATCTGTAGTGCATAGGGCGAGGTAAAAGTTATCTATGCACTACGTACGCTACAGCGGAAATGGACGACACGCCATTTCTTTAAATGCAACTAATTGATGCTCGTATGTATGTACATACAAATTGCTACGATTATCCTTGAAACCTCGTCCGGATTTCCCAAATCCCTCGGTTCGTATCGCTGTATTGTTAAATAAATACTAACGATGACCAAATTATAGTACAATTAACTTTTTTGTACAACAAACAATTTATAATATTCGCTTATACAGTAAAACACTTTACAATACTTGCTAAAGCAATAACAATGCTTTACTAAACTTTTTAACACAATTAAACTTATAGCTCGCTCACTTTACTTGTAGCTTGCTGACTTGTAACTTACTCAACTCCGCTATGTCGTGGCTCTTATATACCTGCTCTCGCTCTCATGGCAACTCTCGAACGTTCTGAAGTTCATCGCTCATTCTCTTTCTCTCGCTGTTCGCAGTGTTCATCCAACTTGACGTTTCTCTTTGTGGAATATTCTACGTCATTCCTCGAACATTCTGCCAATTTCTCGTTGTTCGCTTCGCGTTGCCGCAGTATTCGCCACACTGCCCTCCACCTACGTATCCAAGCGTTGCTAGTATTTCATCTTGTTTCTCGGTCTCCCAGCTGTCTGGATTCGATGCACTTCGTCCTTCAGCCGGTTGTCAATCCTATACGGATCTTTCCAGTCACGTCTTTGCTTGGAGGTGAAGCTTTTCTTCTGCTGCGACATGTGCAACCACAATGCGTTACTGGGCATTGCTTCCAGCTTATCTCCGGTTGTGCACCATCTCACATGGTCCTGCTTCTGTCGGCCACTGGTGGTGACTAGACCATGTCTCCTCTCGTGGGCACCCTTTTTGCCAGATCTATGCCGCATCCTCTGTCCATGACACCCAGGCTCCTGCCTTCGTGCTGTACTGCCTTTAGCACATCTTGCTAAATCCGGTTCCTCACGCTAAAACTTGCCCATTGTTTCATTGTTGTTTCAACCTCATTGATCGGACATGTATAACCACATCCTTGGCTTCCGGCTTAACTGCTCGCCTTTGCCGACCACCTTTTTCGGGACACTTCAAAGCGCGCCTACTGCTTCCATAGCCGCTTCCATTTCCGACCACCGGCGTATCACCATTGAAACGTGGTTCAGTGTTTTTCCTCCTGCCGGAAACACTTCCTGGCTCGCCATGACCACTTCCTTGTTGTGACATCTTCTTCACTAAGCTGGTGGAACCGTCACGCTTTTCCTGTATCGGTGAACCACTTCCTTCTCCTGACGAAACCATTTCGTCGCCATCACTGTCAACCTCTGCCCAACTAACCACTTACGTTTCTGGTGGAATCTTCGGCACTTCCTCTAAGACCAACCGTCTGCTGAAGCACTGGTTGTCGTAACCAACCCTAAGTGGCACTTTCCTGTCGCCATAGGTTAGGATCATTCCCTGGAAGTCAATCGTCATGCCTCGCCCAAGTAGGAAATCCACGCCGATGATGACTTCATCCACAATGTCTGCCACAATAAACTTCGTGTACGAGGCCAACCCGTCGAGTATTACCTCGCAAAGTACTTCTCCTAATACTTGGGTTCGCTCACCAGTTGCAGTCTGCAGCTTTGCTCCAGGTAGTGGCTTCACATAAAAAGTAGTCACATCAGGTCGAATAATGGAATGTGACGATCTAGTATCCACTGTCAGCACTCGCTCCTGCCCGTTCACACATCCCCCAATAGTGAGGTTGCTCGCATTCCGGCCAATTTGTGAGACGGAGATTATGGGCCCTTCATCTTCTGAAGCCAGCAACGGGCCCTTCCTGCTGGCTCGTTTTAGTTTAACGACTGATTGGAGTTGGATTCGTCTCCCTCAGCCCTGCGTTTGCGCCCTATGTTGGATTTAGATTCGCGTACGTCTCTCGCTTGGTATACACGTCCCGCATACCGTTGATGAACCTCCGGATTTTTACTCTTTCGAGGTGCTCACCAGATGCATCTCCAATCGCCAAGTGAGCCAACCTTTCAATGTCGGAGGCGAATACCTGTAAAGTCACGTTGGATTTCTGGCAGCGATTCTCCATCTCCATCTGGTAGATCTGTCGCCGGTGCTCGCTACCATAACGTCTTTCCACTGCACCCATTAACGCATCGTAATTGTTCCTTTCACAGTCGGGAATAGTCTGCAAGATTTCCGCTGCAGGTCCTTTTAATGCGACGAATAACGCAGCAGATTTATCCTGCAAGCTCCAACGATTTGCTGTACCTGTCTTTTCGAACTGGAGCTTAAAGACCTGGAAAGGAATCGTGCCGTCAAAGGATGGTCGTTCGTCGAAGTAGCTGGACGATTCAGCTGTAAATCACGAAGACGACCTTTGCTTTGACTTTCTCCTGTCTCTCTTCAAGTTTGTCCTGTATTTGTGTAATTTTTTCATCCTCTGCTTCCAGCTGTGATGATATGCGTGCCTCCTGTGCCTGTAGCTGAGTTTCTAACCGGGATAACACCTGCGCTGATACCTCTGAAGAGATACGAGTCTCCAGCGCTTGCATATGTGACGACAGCTGTGATGACATCTGTGACATGCGTGTATCCTGTGCTTGCATCATCTGTGACATGGCAGCCAATAACGTGTTCATGTCCATAGCTGTTGATGAAGAAGGAGCCTTTTGCTGTTCTTCAACCTTCGCGGATGTCTAATGCACATCCTTCGACGAACATGCAGCCTCATCCTTCAGTTCGTCCTTTGAGAATGCATCGTCGGGTTTACCCTGGAAGTTGTATTTGTCCACATCGATGCCTTCAGCTTCCATAGCCTCTCGCAACCGGGATAACAATTCCACTTTTCTTCCGGAGGTGCCCAAATTACGCTTTTCCAACTCCTGTTTCAGCTTCTCAATTTTTAAGTCCTGAATTTTCGCCATTTTTAGT